CTTTGTGAAGTGTGGCTTGGCGAGGTTGCAAAAGTATTGAGAATCGATGGAGACAAGACTTATCTGGTTGAATGAAAATTGTCAACCTACATCATCAAAAGTTGAAAGCTGTCTTTAAAAACTTTTAAAAACTCGAAATCACAGTTCCTAAACCCTTTTCAGGTAATTCATATACGAATGAGCTTTTCAAAAACCCATTAAATCTGTAGAAAAGACATAAAAGAGAGATCCGGGGCTTATCTCGGCTATAAATGTTCTGCTCAATGGAAAAAGATCGGGAAAAGCTTTGTGGATCGAAAAGTGAATCAGAGGGAGCAAACGATTCGAATGGAAGAAAAGTACAAGGACAATTTAAATAAAATGAAGGCCGTAATAGAGAATTTGTGTTTTAGATGTCCAGCTAAAACTTCAGTAAAAGAACAAAAGAAAGTAATGATCATGGTTGTTCTAAAGATCTAAAGGAACAGGGCTATTCTGGAACTAGAAAGTTTGATCTGGAACATGCTTAAGATTATGCGAAAGGTTGATCGAAGGATTCACCCCATTCCCGAGGTGACCGGACAACCCAAACAACAATCCCTTTTTTCGCTTATCTCTTTTTCCTCATTTCTTTTTATTGGATCAGTGGATGGCTGATTGAATGGAGAATTTCCAAATCTCTCCCAGTTCTTCTTTTTTATTTACAAAAAGTGCGGGTCTTCTTGGATCGGTCATAAAATTGTCGGGTTCGCCTTCGGATCTTTGAAAAGATCCATAAAATTGTTTGAGATACGGATAAGCTAGAGGGACAGAGAGGGAAATGGGATTTGCAAATAAACAAGAGAAAATATTGAAAATAAAGGTAAAAGTGGTCAATATTTGGAGATAAAGTGATGAAAATGGAATCTTTTACTGTACCGCATCTACAATAATACAAGATTATCCAAAGAAAACAGTAAAGTTTAAGTAATGAAGATCAAAATTCAACGTGCTACAGGATTTCGAAAGAAAGAATTCTTGATGACTCAAAAATTCAAAATCAGGCCTTCGAAAAGGAGGCTCAAGGGATTAAAGTGTTTATAGGAAAAAGTGTGGGCTTTGGAAAGTTGGGATTTAGTGATTTGAGGGGGTATTTGGGTGAGAGGGATTGATAACAGTTGATACGCGCGGGTCCACAGGGCGGGAGAGAGAAGTCGACCCCCAATCCCCTCACTTCACCTCACCCCCCTGCCCACCTAAAGTGCTATCCTTGAATAAATATTAATGATTAGAATTGTTAACACTTTATGAAATGCAATCGCTTTAGATACATGGTTACGATTCAGAGATTGTATCCTACAAAAGCCTACAAAAGCCTACAAAGCCTACAAAGCACAATAAGCCTACAAAAGCTCAAATCTCCTTTATTATAGAAAATTGAGATGCAAGATTCAAATAACAAACGCTGTAAACGTATAGAAGGTGAGTCTTTGGATCTTTGGATCAAAAGTAGTGGGTATGGATGATCGGATGCCATTCAAACGGCAAAAGCTAGTAAAAGGAAAAGCGAGATCAGAAAAGAAAGGAATTGAATGGAAAAATGAAGGAGAAAGTAAGGGAGATCACATTAATGGGATGGGAAGAGAAAAGAAGAGGGAACGATCCTGGGAAGAGGATTACAAAGGGGAAAGGGAGGTGATTGAGGGAGGATGTCTGAGTGATGTCGCTTGTGAAGGTCTTCAGGAAATTTCTTGGAGCTTTTGTGATGTTTTAGATGATCAAATGAAGCTAAAGGTGTTCTTTTGTCACTTGCGTACAAGTATATGTCTGACTTGATTCAGCTCTACTGACTTGGCTTTGATTTGGCATGGCTTTAGCTTACTGGTTAGGTTTGAGCTGTTTATTTTACAGAGCCATGCTTTTTCTAAACTTTTAGCATAAATTTAAGCCTGACGATAAGACAAAAGCCTTACTGTAGTTGATGGTAATGTAACTTGGTCTTGGATTAAGATTTTAAGCATTTAGCATCAATTCAAGCCTTGATCCTCAGATAATAAAGCTTTACTGTAACGGGAAATGTATCTTGGCTTCAAGATCAAGATTTTAAACGTTTAACATCTACTTAGTATCAATTCAGGCTGACTAAAAGTCACATAATAAAGCTTTACTGTAACGGGAAATGTAAATTAGCCCAATTTCCCAAAGAAAAAACTCGAGAACAAGGGTGATTAGTCAAGTCAAGAGTGATTACGAAAGTCGTCTCATCTCAAGCGATGATCAAGATTTGTCTCCTTTCCCCTTGATTCTCAGACATATCTCGAATGATGGCAGCTCCACTCTTCCCCTTTTTATTTCAAACACGTTTCTTGCCCTTGCAGCCATTCTTGTCTTCCCCATTTCACTTGCATCTCCCTTCTCTCATTCATTCATCCATTCATTCTGCCATTCATTGTACTTTCTCCCTTTTCCTCCTTTGATCGGGAAGTGATTGCAATGGATGGGATCAACGGAAGAAATTGCTGGGTTTCTAAGAGTTGAAAAGTAAAATGCAGGGATAGGCTTGAGGAAATACTTGAAGGAAGTGCAGGCTGTATGGTTTTGACGACAGACTTCGGGGGGGCCTAACTTAGAATGCGTTACCAAGGGTGAAGCAAACTCAAGAACTGTGTAATTACGGAACTCCTGAAGAAAATACTCAAGAACTGTGTAACTATACTAATTTATTGTTGGGATCTAAAGCTTACTGCAGCGAGTAGTGAAACAAGTGTTCAATTAATCCTTAAACATTCAATTAATCGATTAACAAGTCTAGTCTAACAGCCTTTAAGCCAATAGCTGCACCCATAGCTAAGTTCATCAAGTTCCATGTCAGAAGTCATACACATTTCCCATAGCGACTAATCTTGCGAGAATCCAATCAAATGCAATCAGTTTTTACGTATTGTTGCAGTCATTGAATGGATTTGGGAAAGGGAGACGAGGAGAGATGAGGAGACGACCTCTCGGCGGTTTCGATTTCGTTCCCTTGCCTCCCCTCCCAGTGATCCTTTCATTCAATCCCTTTCAATCCCATCTTCATTCCCTTTTCCTAGTCTCAGCAAAACTCGTTTTTCTGCACCTTTCCTTTTTGCCAATCTATCGCTATGCTAATATCCTGGCAAGGTCGGCCCGGGATCACCACATTTCACTCAAGATGAAAGGTTTTCGGAGTTGCTATGGATTTTGACAGACAGAGACTTTCAGGGAGTGGGCCTAACTTTAAAATGAGGATTCGTTACCAAGGGTGAATAGTACGCAAGCTGTATTATTCATTCTTGTATTGAGGAAGATGTTTTCCTTCCCCATCCTTTCTCCACTCTCAAATATCCAAGAAATTAGGTTCCTTGATTTGAAAACAGAACTTTTAATAAGGAATTTAGCAAGAATGATAAGCATTTGGTAAATATAATAATATTACAGGTGAATGTGTTGCAAGTATTACTTACTGTTAGGTTTGAGCTGTTTAGTTTACAGAACCATGCCTTTTCGAAACTTTTAGCATAGATTTAAGCCATTTAATTTTTACTAAAGATATTGACTACTGAAGAAAAAGCCAAGTATTATAAAGACAAGTTTGGGTTCAAAGATGTGAAGTTCTAGATGATGTAAAAGGTTCACCATTGCTTGAGTAATGAAGAGAACCTGAACAGATAAGTTTGGAACTTTCAGTATTTTGAAATGATGAAATGAAGAAGATTTTGGTTTTTTTTGCGTTCTCTTTTGCCTCTTCTACAAAACTGTCAGGTGTGAGTAACAAAAATGAAATGAAAAACAGAAAAGCTCGAAAGTTATACAGTTACAAAATAACTCGAAGATTACAAAACTCTCGAGATGTAGGCAAAGAAATGTTTCTTCTTTTTTTCATCTCAGACCTTCTCCTTTTCTTTTCCTTTCCACATCAGTCTTTTCTCCACTTCTTTCCTCTTTAACCACAACAAAATGCCGATTACTCAGTTGTATGGTGGTGGAGAAGGAAGGCTGTGTCGGCTTTTCCCCAATACATACAGACACAAACTGCTTTCCACAGCAATCATCTATCGATATGGGAATGTGCAAGAGTTGGAGAATTTTTGGGGTTTAATAAAAAATAGAATAGTTAACTTGAAGAGAAGCAAGCTTATCTATTTTTTAAATCTTAGGTTGGTGAATTGAAAACTGCGGGACTTTGAACTAAAATTTATTCAAATTTATTCAACAATTCAACCATAAATTCATTCCAAATAATTTCCATTATTATTGACGACTTCTGCTCATTTTACAGGCAATTTGTGGATTCCTCTTTCGTAGTAGGATTTTGGTTTGTGTGTGAGACAAGTGTGAGACTCAAAAATGGAGGACTGGAGATGTCCCAGTTTGAGCACTTTCTTCAAAAGAAACCCATTTTGGTGTCAATAGAAAAGTTGTAGAGAATCAAAAATTAGGCTTATAGCCAAATTTCCAAAAAGATACACTTAGTAGTTTCGCTTAAAATGGAAGTTTTGTGAAAATTCGTAAATTTGGCATTTCTTGAAAACCAGCTTTTGAATCGTTCTGAAAATTTGGATATAAACTTAATTTTTGATTCTCTACAACTTTTTCATTGACACTAAAATAGGTTTCTTTTGAAGAAAGTGTTCAAACTGTCACATATGACAATAGCCGGCAGTTTTCAATTCACCAAACCAATAAATTGAAATAAAATGGTTGTTTTATAATGCGGGGATTTTTACTACCGTAGTCTCAATTCTAAAAAGTCGCCAGTTTTGATTTAAAGAGGACAATTTCGTGAAAAACTTTTGTTTCTTTGTTCCTCCTGCGCTGTTTTATAGCAAAGTTAAAAAATACGCTTTCATTTATACATTGATCAATGGAAAGCTAACATTTGATAGCTTTTCACATCTGATAGTTAACATTTTTCGACCTATTCAACCATAAATGATTCCATCACTTGCACATTTCACCTTTGTTTTCTTTGTTTTTGTTTTCAAATTGAAATTTTACTTATCATTTTTATTCAGGTAAACATGGGCAAGCCCATGGGATTGAATGCCGCTCGGAAGCTTCGTCTTCATCGTCAAAAACAACGCTGGGCCGACAAGGATTACAAGAAAGCAAACTTTGGAACAAGATGGAAGGCCAACCCATTTGGTGGCGCCTCTCACGCAAAAGGGATCGTGCTCGAGAAGATGTTAGTTGCTTTTAAACATTATTTTTAATGATTTAAATTGATAGCTAAAATAGTCAGGTAAGAATTTGGCACGACACATTGTCGTTTAACGATCAATTTCTTTTACTATTAAATCTGCAAAGCTGACGAACTATTACAATCGAATTAGCTAAATCAATTTGATATTTTCCTGATGAATTTAGGACTTTGCTTTGACTATTCTCTAATTCCTTTTGTTTTTAGTGGAGTCGAAGCTAAGCAGCCCAACTCGGCCATCCGAAAATGCGTTCGTGTGCAACTCATCAAAAACGGAAAGAAAATCACCGCCTTCGTCCCCAATGACGGTTGCCTAAATTTTGTTGAGGTAAATTTCAAGTTGAAACTTATAATTTTTTGATGATTTGAAGTTAAAATCATTTACTTATGCGTAATATTTTCGCAATGTAAACCTTAATTAATGTTTTACTTTCAAGCTTAATGATTGACTTTAGGAAAACGATGAGGTGCTTGTTGCTGGTTTCGGCCGTTCCGGTCATGCCGTCGGAGATATTCCCGGAGTTCGTTTCAAGATTGTTAAAGTCGCCAACACATCTCTCATCGCGTTGTTTAAAGGGAAAAAGGAGAGACCAAGGAGCTGAAACAAGCGCGATAAAGCAAAGAGGGATTCGTAAATTAACTTTTGTTATTGTTGATAAATCTTTTTAGTCAGATTATGTTGCTTCATCACTTATTTTGTACTCCCAGCCACGTTGATTTCAGGAACAAAATTCGTTTTGCCTCAGCAATAATTTATTTCCAATCAACCATACCTAAATATCACATTTCGACCAAGCGACATTTTAAAGAAAAAATAACCCGAACATAATGCATCTTTGGATAAATAAAAAAGGCAAAGAAAGAGTACAGCCAAAATCTTAACAAGAAATAATTTAACAAATAACAAAATTTACAATAATTGAGTCCAATAGTGCATTCCTTGTCCGAGCTCCCAGATGCCGATGCCAACACCGTATTTTTTGGCCAAATTTAGTCGAAGCTCGATGCTTGTCAACGTCGGGTAATATGAGATCGCTTCCCTAGAAGTTTTGATAAAATCAATATCAGTTTTAGTTTTTATTTGAAATTTGGAGAAAGCTACGTCGACACTATTGTTCAATGGTTGCCCACTGTGAGCTTACTCTGTAACAACGCGATGTTCTTTCACCGTATCATCCCATTCAAATTTGGCGCCCTCTTGCTCGAGCTCTTCAAGAAATCTGAAAGATTAAGATTCTAACTCAAAACGTAGTTGCGATTGTCTTTATAGTAAAATTTGTATCAAGTTATCGTTGACTTACTGATTTCGTTGAATTGCTGCCGATTCGCCAGCTTGTACGAATCGATACCCATAGTGATTCATGCCAATCATCAACCTCTCCGCGTTTCGTGGATTATCCTAAAAGACAATATTTTTTATTGATTTTTAGTTTGACAATGTTTACTTGAGTTAGAACACGAATCGTTTCGTGCACCCAATCATACGGTGCAACTCCTCGGCCACCTGGGAAATCGTAAGTCATCACCTAAATACATATAGGTTAATGGATGATTTTTGTAGATATACTTACTCCAATTGAAAATAGATATGAGCAAAACATACTTGTAAATAGTCAACCAATGGTAGCGATTCCAACATTTCCTTGGTGAAGATTCCCGTGACTTCACTAAAATGATTAATTCAAGAATTTCATAGTTTAAATCGAGTCTCACTTCTTGTCGTTGAGTGGCGGTCCAACGGGAGCGATGATTTGCATTCCTTTCTCGTGGAAAGCCTCACCCCAATTGTTGAGCGTCTCAATGAGGTAACTGAAATGTTACCATTTATTCGATATTCGGTGCCAATCAATATATTTTCCTTATCGTTCTTTGAGTAAACGAACTTTGTTGCCCCTCCTCGACTCTGCATCATTGCTGACATCCAGATCTCGATTACAGCGCCGTCAAATTGATTTCGCTAAATTAGATTCAGTATAAAATTTATTTAGTATCAAATTAAATTATGGCCAAATTGATTTCTTACTTGTAAAAAGTGTAAAAGATCCTGCAAACAGCGTTGTGTCCAAGCCTCACTACCCAAAAAACGATGCATTTCCTCGGAACTCCAGTGCTCGAAGAGGACTCGAGGAACGAATTTGATAGCACTGTTATTCGATCGAACGTCATTCATCCAACCTGGAGTAACTTGTAAAGATCAAAAGTTGCTTACTATAATTAAAAATTTTAGATCTAACTGACAAATGAGCGTCTGTTCCATCTTTTATGGTCTTCTCAGTAAATCCAAACACGCACCATGATCAATATCGTGAGTTCCTTCTATTCGACAACTTGCAGCCATGTCCGCTGTTTGGGGCCTCATCTGAAGCCAAACCGGCGCGATGTGGGTAAACTTTTTTGCAGCCCATTTCGCTAAATCGTATCCTCGTCCGTTCCACTAAATAGCACATGTCCAGTACACAATAGACCTGGGAAAATTCCAACCCGAACCTAATTTCACCTTCGTTTTCTTGGTCGATTGCTCTGAAATTTTGTCTACAGATAGAAATAGACAAAATGTCTACAAGAAACGAAGGTGGAACTAGGTTCAGGTTGAAATTTCCCCATATCTAGTGGGTATTACAATTCAACAAACCGGAGTAATATAGGCCAGAGCAGCATGTTCGAATTTGCGCTCTCCATCGTCAATGATTTCCTCGTTTTCCTTGATGTTCTCCTTTGTGATCGATGTAGGCGGGTAGTTGAGTGGCTCAGTCTAAAATACTTTCCGTTTTTAACTGTTTCTGTTAATGGCTTTAAAATCTAGCTGCTCTCAAACGTTTGTGACAAAACGTGAAACTTGAATTCTTGTACAGTGATCCTTTTCTTTACTATATCACTCACCGCTTCTTCCGTTGTCACTTTTTCTTGACTTGTATCCACTTTCTTTTTCGCTGTCTCCGTGCTATCCGCTTCATGTTTTCGCGATTTTCGATCCGATTTTGAAAGCGCTGATGTCAAGACGAGCACTCCGAGAAGAAAGATGAGTATCCTCATCTGAAAATGATAAAGTTAGTGAATTTAAAAGATTTAAAACGTGGAAGTCACTCCAAAAAATTTGTCCACGTTATGTATTTGCAAAATTGAGTAGGCTCTTGGCGGTAAAAAGAATAGAATGGGGGCGTTGTGAGTATGGGAAAGGTCGATTCAACGCTGAAAAGGGAAAAGAGAGCCACGTCAATTTTATGATTGGCGCTGGAAAGGGATTTGGCTAATCCATCCACCACATTTCAAAAGAGAAACCCGCAAAAGTTTAAGAGTAGATTTAACATAAAATCTAGCATCCAGGTAACTTTTTCTAGCAAGAACCTTTTAGATAACAAGCTCGAAAGTCGAAACAGAAAAACATTAGGTTGGTGAATAAGTCTATTCTTTCCTTTTCGTAATTCTGTTTAAAACCAACAAATGCACCAATTCAACTACGGTTCGTTTCATTAGAAAAGCTCATTATTTTTCTGTAAAATAACATTAAAATGGGTTTAAAATGTCTGGTACTAAGAAAAGTTGGGGGGCACTTTTTTTCTTCAAAACCACTTTTTCTGGGGTAATTTTATGCGTAGATTCCCAAAAAGTACAACGAGAGTTTGGGAAAAGGCGTTTTAAGCCGAGTTTTTGGGCTTCAAAGTGCGCGCTCATACAGTGTGATGAGTGGGATAAGAACACAGACACATAAGAAAGATGTCTAAAAAATGGTCTCTCAAAACATTTTTGAAATCAAAAACACTCCTTCTGGCATAATTTAACCTACTGATTATGTTTCTGATCAAATTAAAGAAAAATTAAAAAATTTTTTTCTAAATTTCGACTATGAGGCCGGCCCCACTTAAGTCAAAATCGGTCAAAATCTCAAAAAATATTTTTTCAATTTGTTTTGCCTCTACCAGTCAATTTAAGATAGAAAACGAATATTTAGTGGCTAAAAATGGTTTTGGCTCTAGTTTTGACCTTGAAAATTGCCCCAATAGTCGATAGCTTGAGCTCCATTTAGTGAAGTAGAGTATAGCCGAGTTTTGGATCGCACACTTTGAAGCCCCGAAACTCGGCTTAAAACGCCCTTTCCCAAGTTCTCGTTGTACTTTTTGGTAACTACGCATAAAATTACCCCAGAGAAAGTGGTTTTGAAGAAAAAACGTCGCGCAAAAGAAACGGGGAAGCGCCGGACCGGGCAACAATTCTTTGAAAGAATGAATTTTGAAGGGATGGGATTTTGTTTTAGAGAGGAAGGGAGACGCCGTCGAGTACGGTAGTCTATGTGTATTTTAGAATTTAAGGTTGGTAAGTTCCCAACCCGAGCTGCAGGAATTCAATGAATGCGCAAAAAACCTTCGGTAAGTTAGGTAGAGAATTACAAATAAACTCAAGAAAAACAAGAAAAACTCACGTGGCAGTGCTACACAGTGCTTCAGAAATGTCTGAATTGTCGAGATGGATGTTGTGATGTCATTGTTCCGTGCAATCATTGAAAAAAGCTCAAGATACATCTTTTTGGTACTTACAAGAAACTTAAAAGCCTTAAAAACCTGATCTGACTATGAAATCAATCTTTTTCTATACAAAGTTTAAAACCTTATCCAAAAAGTTTTACATTTCAACATTTCTATCATTCCAAATGTTTTCGCAAATCTCGCAAATCTCGTTCCTGAATATTCCATTCAAGCAAAACTTCTCCAGAATTCCTTTGAGTGTGTCGGAGATAATCGAGTTTCCCTTCTCACACAGCTTGATGAATAAATGCAGAATCTTATCGGCATTTCTTTCCATTTCTAAAGAGCCTCTTTTTACATGAAAATGAAGATGAATATTTATATCAGAGCTTAATCATCATTTTAAGTTCAAGAAAAGCTTTGATGGGATTGTTTATGGATTTAAAATTGGCTATCAAATAGTATATTATTAGAATGCTTTTTAGTTCCTTTATAATTCCTTTATAGTTCCTTTATAGTTCCTTTATAGTTCCTATTTAGTTCCTTTATATTATTAGAGCTGTTCATTTTCGATCTGATTGTCAATACCGAATTCTCTCTAATAGTAGTGCACCCTGAGCGTTGCCTAGATTGCTTGAAATCTCGAAAAGCGCTTATTAGAACCTATCGATTTGGGGTCGGAAGATGTAGCTGACGATGAGATCTTGTGGGGGATTTGAGTGTTGAGCTTCTGCAAAAGGTTGGAAACCATAAAATAGGCACCAACTCGACTCGCCGGGGTGCACTACTATTAGAGAGAATACGATAAGCGTACAACGAAACAGATTTGTCTACTTTAATGGCTACTTTTTCAGGATTTCTTGTTCCATAAAGGTAGCTCTATCTTTTGGTCTAAAAAAACTTCTGAAAAAGTTGCTGTTGAAGTCGTTAAATCTCGTTTTTTCGTTAGACACCTATTGACAATTAAACAGAAAATGAATAGCTCTAGTATTTATTAAAGAATTTCAACAGCTTTTTTTAAGCCGTGTGCCAGAGGACGTGCGTTTTGTAGCAAAATTTGAGCACAAAGTTTGTTAACAAGATTTATTTCTTTTCACCTCCCTGAATTCACAAGGTTTATTTCTTTAGCTGAATAATTTATCTCCCTTCCTTCACTCCGTTCATCATCAATCCCCGTTGTTAGCTTTTTTTCCTCTCCTTTCCAAGAACAAAGTGTTTTCTTTCTTTGTTCTTCCCCACCTGAGAATGAGATCACTTCTTTGTCCATTTCTACGTTCATTCTGCTAGATTTCTTCAATTTCAAGAATTCTAAGCTTATAAATATCGAACTAGACTCGATTTTCATGCCAATTTCTTTGATCAAAACATTTTCAGCTGCTCGTTGAGAAAAACTCATTTAAACAGTTCCCTGTACACAAAAGTAAACCCATTTTCATTGTACATTGTTTTAAGCTTTAAAATTCTATAAGGAAGTTAATAAGTTTGATTTTTTTAACCTCGACTACTTAACTTTTTATTGTGATCTCAAAAATTTTCTATGAGGAACCGATTGGTGAAGTCGGCTTTTGAAGTGGTCTCCTTCTTCAAAATTCCCTTCTCGAGATCCAATTTCCCCCGTTTTGCTTCCCTTTTTCAAAGCGTTCACCATTTCCATTTTTTTTCGATAAGTCTTTTATTCAATCTTTATGCATATGCAAGTTTTTTTTGAACGTTTCTATGAACAGGGATATGTGGGAAGGATTTGTGAAAACAGATCATATGTCTCGATGTCTCAATATGCTTCAACTCTAGCCTAAAAACATTGAAAGCTTTTTAAAAAAAGTTAACTTTCGTCATCGATTTATAAATTAAGAAATAAACTTTATAACTTTTGGTAGCTAACGGATTGCTTCAAAAGGAAATTTTTTCGTAAATGGCTCTGCAGGATTTAGATGACACGATCAAACTTTTCTTTTCAACAATTCAAGGATTTCAAAGAAGCCTAGAACTCAGGGTTTAGGGTTATACTATAAAATTATTCTAAATTTGAGTTTAAGTAAAAGATCTTTTGGTGCTATTTGGGTTGGGGGTTGTATTTAGGCTCAGGCTCAGGCTCAGGTGTGTTGTAAGCCTGAGCCTTACAACACATGCTGATTCCAAAAATTGACATTTCCAAAAAGATTAAGCACTTTTTACTTTCACTTACCAATACGTTTAAATAAACAGGCTTACCAGAGAAATCTTTGAAGTTACATTTCAGGAGCGATCTGATTTTGATGTGCACTCCCTGGCTAAGAAAAAAACCCTAAGAAAAACCTAGCTAAGAGCATTCCAAAACTGCTTTCAAATCCTATTTATCATAAGCCGTTTTCGATTTTCGATGCCTTAATGCCTGAGATTTGAAGGACTTTGGTCGCTTAAAATTATAGATTACGGGCTAGTTATGGCTTTGAGTATACCTAAATGACACCCATTAAAGCTAGAATTTAGTTCACAATTGTAAAATGTCAGTATCGTAATAAGTGCCCTACATAGAAAAAGGGTTTAAAGCAGAAATATTGCCCCAACCCGCAGAATCTTGCCCCAACCCGCAGAATCTTGCCCCAACCCGCAGAATCTTGCCCCAACCCGCAGAATCTTGCCCCAACCCGCAGAATCTTGCCCCAACCCGCAGAATCTTGCCCCAACCCGCAGAATCTTGCCCCAACCCGCAGAATATTGCCCCAACCCGCAGAATCTTGCCCCAACCCGCAGAATCTTGCCCCAACCCGCAGAATATTGCCCCAACCCGAATAGCGTCGATCTTTTAAATTCTTATCAATCAAAATATCAAAATTCTTATCAATTTTTATCAATTCTTATCAATCTTTTAAAATCTACAATGAACAATTCTTCTATCCTTACAATAATGATCAAGTTTAGATGTTGATCTCAAATAATTTCCCCAGAACTCTCTTTCAAATAGATAAAGAAAACACAAATATTTCCGAATTCTTTTCCCTTTCCATTTTTCTTTCCTGGTTGGATAATTAAAGAATTTTTTAGGGCATTCTTTACCCTTTTCTCTTCTTCTAAAGGGTTATTTCTGAATGAAATGTCCTGTTTTCGTCTCTCATTTACGTACATCTTTGTGATGCAAATGCACATTTCATTTTTCATAATCCCTCTTGCAAATAAAGTTCATCAAACTATCAATTTTCGGTCTTTGAAAATTCTTTTTTTGTTACTAGCTAATACTACAGGGTGCGGCATAAGTACAAGGTTTTAACGTTACAAGGTTTTAACGTTACAAGGTTACAAGGTTGTAACGTTGATTTAAGAAACTGATTGATTTTTATTTCTTGCCAAAGGACTATTTCTCAATGTTATGGATTTCTGTGTTTGGGCAATTTTGGAGCAAAAAGCATGAAAAACATGCAAACGTTGAAAGTCTGAAAAAGGCTCTGAAGAAAGCCTGGGCGAAAATTCCACAAAGTACCCTGCGGGCCGCCGTGGAAAGTTATCCAAAGCGTCTTAAAGCCGTTATCAAGAATAAAGGTGCCCATATTGAATAATTGGTTATTTTTTTAAACGAATATGATTACTGTTGTTAAT